CAGGTAAGGAAGAGGGGATAAGCGTATTATACACACACCCAAAGTATTTAGATTTCTTTTTTGGGTGTACTGTATGTAGCATGCCCAATGTATTCTGTCACCAGGGCAATTAGGCAAAAATAGCAATAACAATAGTGTCAGGAGTTCTAAATTTTGACATAACTTACAGTACATGTGTGCAGACTGGTGTTATAGCTCCCCTCTTATGGGGTACCAGGTCTTGGTGATGACATTTCCAAACCAGGTGAGGAAAGAAAACATATGATGTTGATTGTCCAAGAGGGTTCCAGGGAGATTTTGGAATATAGAATTTGTTGGACTTCATATTCCTGGGAAGAAGCCACTTTAGGAGAGACAATGGAGGTTGGGTGAGAGAATCTGTTGATTACAACTGGCTTTAAGCATGAATTTAACTGGGTATGTGAAGAGGAGAATGGAAGATGATACTGGAAAGATAATGGATTTATTCTGCTGAAATTTCAAAAGGTCCATTATACTGAGGAGCAAACTAAGGGCATGCTGAGAAAAAGATTTTTACTGAGAAGACAGGCTTTATCTCCAGGTCAGTAGTCAGGAGCTCTGTTGCAGTGACGGTCAGTGAACCTGTTGTAACTGGAGTCCAGAAAGCATTTTTGAACCAGGAACCAATATAGCATTGAAGGAAGTTTGCATGGTGTCAAGATTGTGTACATCACTGGTGGGTGATGTGGAGCTGGGAGCTTGTACTTAATGATATTTACCATAAACTACTAAGAATGGGGATGCCCCACAACTAGAAATTGCACCTCCTCCCATGCTCACCTCCAGGACTTCCCCAGAGCCACTCCTATCCTCTGGAACTCCATTCCCCAATGTTTCCGACTATCTCCAACTCTGTCCACTTTTAGACGATCCCTGAAAACTCATCTCTTCAGAGAGGCCTATCCTGCCCCACCTAACAACGGTAAATGTATTTTATCCATCAGTCCATCCCCCACAATTATTACCTTTTATATATCTTCACCCTCTCTCTTAGATTGTAACAAGCGGGGCCCTCTGATCCCTCTTGTATTGAATTATATTGTAATTGTACTGTCTGCCCTTATGTTGTAAAGCGCTGCGTAAACTGTTGGCGCTATATAAACCCTGTATTATAATAATATTATGAGCTACTCAGTCCAGGACAGGAGGGAGACCCAGTTATCATGGTGGATGGAGATGAGGGAACAGAAAAACTGCTCTGGAGTTTGGCGTTGTCTTTTTGTTTGGCAGTTAGTTTGAGGATGGTAAGCAGAGGAGAACTGGAGTGTGATGTTTAAAGATCTGCAAAGTGCCTTCCAAAATTAAAGTGGTTCTAAAGGCTTATTTTTTTTTAAATAACAAATATGTCTATACTTACTTGCTCTGTATAGTGGTTTTGCACAGAGAAGTCCAGATCCTCCTCTTCTGGGGTCCCCCGCCAGCGCTCCTGGCCCCTGCCTCCTGTCGGGTGCCCCCACAGCAAGCAGCTTGCTATGGGGGCATCCGAGCATGCGCACTTGCCAGCTGCTGCTCCTTGTGTTCATTCACACACGGAGCCGCGACTCAGCCCCACACCCTCTCGCTTCTCATTTGCTCACTGGCTTTGATTGACAGCAGCAGAAGCTAATGGCTCCTGCTGCTATCTCAGCCGATGAGGAGAGAGAGTCCTGGAATAGCCAAGACTCCAGTGCATATCACTGGACCGAAAGGGGGCTTAGATGAGTATTGGGGGTTCTGGGGGGATGCTGCACACAGAAGGTTTTTTTCTTTCATGCATAGAATACATGAAGGTAAAAAACCTTGAGCCTTTACAACCACTTTAAGCTGTGAACTGTAATCATTTGACCAAGGCGATATGAGAAGGTAGGCCATGTAGTCTGGAGATTTCATGAATGAAAAGTGGTGCTGAAGCAGAAGGAAGAGTCAGAAGGGGGACAAAGGGTACCATTTCTTTTTACAAACTGTCGACTACAACCAAAATGACTTAACAACATTCAGAGAGGGAAAGATCTGTAATAAAGTCCATGGACAAGTGTTGCCAATGTTCCTTTTGAACAGGGAGAGGCAGTAGAAGGCTTTCCAGGGCATGAGAGGGAATCTTGGTCTGGGCACAAATATTACAAGCTGCCACATAGTCTTTGACATCCTCCCCAGCCACCAAAAGTGATGGGTAAGAAAAGTGAATGTTCTGTGTACTCCAGGATGGCCAGGCAATTTGAAAATTGTTGGCCCAGTCAATAATCATGGTCCTGAGATTTGGTAGCACTAGAGTTTTGCCTGGAATAATGGAAATTTTTGAGAGGGAGGTCAGTGACAAAATAAGATTGGCTCCTGCTTAGGGTAGATATCATGGTCATAAGAGTCAAAAGATTGGGAAAGAGCATTGGCTTTGATATTGCAGGAGCAAAAAGCAAAACAAGAAAAGAAAAGGAACCAGCAAGCTTGTTGAGGATCAGGACAGGGGATAGAGTAGAAATGTTGCAGATTCTTGTGGTCAGTAAGTATGATCAGGCAGTGAGGAGAACCTTCACAAAAGTTTCACCATTCCTCTGTAAAGATAACTCTGGGGCCAAAATGGATCAAAAAACTTTGATCCACATTGATCAACTTCTAGGAATTAGCTGTGTTTGGATCATGTAAAGCTGGTCTGGAAAGAAACGCTTGCTTCAAAGCATTAAAAGCTTCAATGGCTTCAAGAACCAAGTTTTTAGGATCAGCTTCCTTGCAAGTCAAGGCTGCAATAGGTGCCACCAAATAGGTGATAGGTGCCACCCTAATAAATTAGTGATAATAATCTGTGGGGCCTAAAAAACATTGGGTGGCATTTAGATTAGTGGGAAGTGACCAGTTAGCGAAGGCTGACACTTTTCTGGGATCCACTTAAAGACCATTTTTGAACACTATTAACCCACAAAATGGCACGTCCTACTGTTTAAAAAGGCATTTTTCTGCCTTGGTGTAAAGCAGACATTGTAAGACCATCTGCATATGGTGACGATGTTTGTGAAGGTTAAAAAAAAAAAAAAACAAAACACAATAAAATTATCAAGGTACACCACATTAGGATTTTATTAATGAAATGTTGGAAGACTGTGGGAGTAATACACAAATGAAAAGGCATCATAAGACACTCATAGTGCCCATTCTGAGTGTTAAGCCTGGTTTTCCAGTCTGATTCCTTCTTTTGAATCAGACTGTAAACTCCTCTCAGGCCAAGTTTGGAGAAGATCTGGGCTCCAAGCAGGTGGTCAGTTTGATAATAAGAAGTAGCAAATTTTTTTATAAAGATGGCATTCAAACCCCAATAGTCTATACATGGTCTCAGAATGCCATCTTTTTTGTGAGAAAGAAAAATTCAGCTCCAGCAGGTGAGGTGGACTTTCGGATTAAGCTTTTCTTCAAATTGTCAAAAATGTATTACAAGGCTTGCATTTCAGGTATTGAAAGAGGGAAAGCACTTCTTTGTGGAGAATTGGAACCAGGGTTCAAGTCAATGGCCCAGCCAAAGGAGCAGTAGGGGGCAAAGTGACAGTGGCTTGTTTAGAAAAGACATCAGAGTAGTCAGACAGCAGGGATTTGGATATTGGTCTGAGCTTGGGCCAGAGGCACTAAGTAACTGGAGATAAAGGAAAACACCCAGACTGACAAGAAGATCCCAGGGTCAGAACATCAAAAGTGGTCCAGTTAATGGTTGGTGAATGTTGTTGCCAGGGTAGGCCCAAAATGATGGGAGTGGCAACCTGTGGCACGACTAGAAAGGATAGTATCCTTCTACACAAATCTCCTGAAGGGCCATTTTCTGGTGCATGGGACTGCAGGAAAGTAAGAAATAGTCTAGACAGAGAGAGGGGGTGTAAATTGTTTTTATCTAGAGTCCCGGCTTTAGAGCTTGAAGTGCTCAAATAAAATAGCCAGGGCCCAGAATAGATGAATTCAGGAACAGAAATGGGCTGATTTCTGACACAGAGACGAATGGTCAAAATGAGTGAATTAGCAGAGGATGAAGAGTGCACTAGACCTGAGAATTTCCTGGGCACTGGGGACATGCTGGGGATTTGTTTGTGGAAATGACCCACAGTATATGCAGCAACATAAGGTTCGGTGATGGTTTCACTCCTTGGAAGATAGATGAGCTTGACCTAAAAGCATTGACTCAGTAGTAGAGGATTCTTGGCAGAGAGTCTGATTCCTTGGGAATGGATGTTCAAGGAGAAAAATAGAAGTGGTGTTGATGATTATGCTCCTTGCTGTTTTCATGGAAATTTATATCGATACAGATGGTGATGGAGATCAAGTCATTCAGGGAGCAGGATAGATCTCTGCGGAATGCACTGTAAAAAAGAAAAAAACATCAAACACCGCATTCTTTAAAATATCAGATGAAATTTAAATTTGTTCTTTCTGATCTTCTGTCAAGATTTGAGGCACCATCTTTGTGGAAATATTTCTCAGTCCCAAATCCTCCATTAGAATCTGCCGCATTATTTCCCTGTTCATGTTCAATTCTCCTGCCATAATTTGCACAATTAATCTTTGACCTGAGCGTGTGAAGGTTTGCACTCTGTCCATATTTGCATCTGTCCTTTTGGCTTTCAGACTGCCACTTCATGTGTCTTCATGGACATCTTCCCACCCCACCTTAAACTGCCAATGCCATTCACTTGATTTCTTCATGGAATGTTCCATACGCCCGTTGTAACAGAGCTAAAGTTTCACTCGACCTTTTACCAATTTTCACACAAAAATTGATGTTCCAGATTTCTGTCACTCATTTTCCGCAGAACAGCACAACACAGGTGAGAGGAAGAAAGGGGTATGCTAGTATGCAATGCATACTAGCACATTATTACATTAACTTGCAGAAGGGGCCACATTTTGTTTTCTATTTAAACTTTACTACTGCTTTAACCAACTCCCATATAGTCCAATGACGGGCGCAAGGTGGTTCTCTTGTTCTGAGAGGACACCATATGACGTCCTCCCATTCTAACCGCACATACGAGGCTCCGGGAGCGCGCAGCGTGGCGATCGGCGGTGCGCTGTGTCCCTTGGACACAGCGGATCACCAATCACGGAAAGAACCGAAGATATTGGCTCGGTCATGTGATCATCTGTGTCCAATCACAGCTGGCCACATGTAAACACGGAAATGCCGGTTAGAGGAGAGGAGAGCCGGTAATTGGCTTTCCGCGGAGGGGACATGTACACTGATCATGAGGGCACTGATGATCAGTGTACCCTGATGATCAGTGTAGCCCCAGCAGTGCCACCTGTCAAAGTCCATCAGTGCCAGCTGTCAGTGCCGATCAGTGCCTTGTAACAGTGCCTATCAGTGCCACATCAATGCCACATATCAGTGCCCATCTGAGCTGCCTTTCAGTGTCATCCATCATGCCTGTCAGTGCCACCTATCAGTGCTGCCAATCAGTGCCACCTATCAGTGCCAGTCAGTGCCACCTATCAGTGCCAGTCAGTGCTGCCTAACAGTGCCAGTCAGTGCCGCCTATCAGTGCCAGTCAGTGCCGCCTAACAGTGCCATATATCAGTGCCATATATCAGTGCCATGTATCAGTGCTGCCTTTCAGTGCCCATCAGTGATGCCTGTCAATGCCCATCAGTGCCACCTACCAGTGCCTCCTCATCAGTGCCCATCAGTGCCACCTATCAGTGTCTATCAGTGCAGCCTATCAGTGCCCATCACTGCAGCCTCATTAACGCACATCAGTGAAGGAAAAAAAAATCGCTTATTTACAAAATGTTATAACAAAAATTAAGAAAAACGTTTTTTTTTTTCAAAATTTTCAGTGGTTTTTGGTTTGTTTAAGAAAAAATAACACTGGGTACAGTGTTGCATGACCACGCAATTGTCATTCAAAGTGCGAGAGCGCTGAAAGCTGGAAATTGGCCTGGGCAGGAAGGGGGTATAAGTGCCCAGTAGGCTAGTGGTTAACTTTTCTTCTCTCTTGCACCCATCACTCTTACCTTCAGCTTCCCCATCTAACCCCCTCACCTCTTTCTTCTTCTCACCTTCTATCCTTACAGTTCTTTTTAATTGAATACCACCAACTTAAAAATGAGAAAGCAAGCAGGATGTCAGCTCATGCACACTGACCACTAACTGTTTCAAGATTCATGATTTCTACACAGACAAACCATTTAGCAAAATTTTCACTTCACTGAATTGTGGAGTGCAATATATATGATATGTATCAGTTGAAAACACTCCAGCAAGTATTTGCAGTTCTCCATATGCTCAGCATAAATAACTCATGTTTACAAAGCTACAGTAACTCAAGCTGAAATGTACACACACAAGTGAATGAGTTAGAGTACATCCTCTCCATTCAACTAAGCTTGTTTGAAGTTTCAGTCAGAGACAGAAAGTCTGAGAGTAAACAGCTGATGATGAGCACTGACTTTAGAAAACCCACAGTGCTCTGGAAATCCTGTTGCATTTTAAATGTCAACTCGTAGAAGAAAGATTGTAAAGATATAGTAAAATAATAAATATAAAACTTAGTGATACTAAACCCAGAACTCTGCATTCACTATATCTGGTCTCCCACAGTACATACAACATGGAAATGCAATTATTTTAGTAAATATAAACTGCTAAATATCTTTTCTCATCAGCAGTTCGAGCAGTCTTGTGACTTCAGCAGAGCACTAGTTAAAGCTTGTAAGAGGAGTTTTCTTTCTGCGCTAGGAGGATGTGAAACCTCTGACCCTCTGTCTGGACTGTGCTGATTGATCCTGTGCTGATCACATTCAAACTCCCAAGAAAAAGAAAAACCTCTCTAGCGATACACACCAAACTGAACATGTGCATGTGACCTCGGGTTCAGTCTGTATCAGATGGTCATTTCAACAAGAGGAGGGGCAGAGAAGAAAGGATCAAACAGCCTTTTTTACACAATGCAGAGGATTAACCCCTTAGGTTCCACAGTGAGTATAACAAGCATGCTTTAATGCATATACAGACTGATTTTACTGTTGTGGGTTTAGTAACACTTTCAAGTGTGTGTAAAGTCAAAACGTTTTCATTTTCAGTTTGGATACAGTAATGAGCAGTTATAACTTCTGTCAGGTTTTTTACACTGTCTGGGTGATGGTAAAGGCATATCTTTCAATGGGAGCACCTGTTCTGGTGACAACTGTCCAAGTGGGAATTTACTGTGGAGAGGTTTCCTCTCACTTTTTGCTGTGTCTCCCAGACATGAAGGAAAGTAGTGAGGGGACATAATGGAAAATTTCCCCCTTGCTTACACGTACATGTAAATTTTATTATGTTAATTAAAAGTATGCTGTAACCTAACTTTTATGCGATAACATAAAACACCCCACCATTTAAAGCAGGGCTGTCAAACTGGCGGCCCTCCAGCTGTTGCGGAAACTACAAGTCCCATCATGCCTCAGCCTTTGAGAGTCATGCTTGTAACTGTCAATCTTGCAATGCCTCATGGGACTTGTAGTTTGAGGCCTCAACAGCAAGGCTCTTACTTTCCATTCATCATACATCAGCATCAGAGGTTGGTCATCAGCTCTGAGGAAAGGGATTCGTCCCCGAAACGCATCAGACATTTGACCGCACTGACAGTGAGAACACCTTGCCTGCCGTTGTGGCCCTTGTCATTTTTCTATGCTTTTTAGATACATGCTTCGTCTGTGAGTATGTTTTTTATGATTTAATTCCTACAATAAACCTTGGATAATGCACTAGGTGTGTGCGCCACCTGTTTTCTCTCTATCCAGTGGCTGATTTCCCTGTCTGAGGAGGGCTGCACCCCTGAAGCATTTCCTTTGGTTGTCGCTGTCCTGGTACCCTTGGCTTCCCTTTTGGCTGTGCATATCCTGAGGGGCTGGAGAGTACATACGATATCCGGTTCGGCTGCCAGTTTGACACCTGTGATTTAAAGCATGAATATATGTACACATTACAGTAAAGTTCTCAAAATTACGTGGCTTAGTTCACAACAATAATACATTTCTATGAAAGAGTACACAGGCACAGTGACTTAGTGGTTAGCACATCTGCCTTACAGTAATTGGGTCATGGGTTCAATTCCCAACCATGGTGCCTCCTCCATGGAGTTTGCATGATCTCCCTGTGTTCATGTGGGTTTCCTCCAGGTACTCTGGTTTCCTCCCACACTCCAAAGACATGCTGGTAGGTTAATTGGCTCCTGTCTAAATTGTCCAAGTTTCATCCCTGGCCACACAGGATTTCCTGCATGGTAGGGGTTGGGAAAAAACTGGCAACCTACCCTGTAAAATAATTGCTAAGAGAATTCATGGTAAAAAGTCACTTACAAGTGACAGTCCATGCAATTGCCAAGGGTCAGATACAACTGAATGGATAGATAGGATGGAGATGAAAGAGTACAATGCATTGTGTAAGCAAGCTTTCTGTAGGGTGTGTAATATATACTTCCACCACTAGAGGACAGTCAGTACTTGTTAGTTTCAGAATACCAGCCATCATGCACATGAAAACATAACACAATTTGCCATCTTAGCATAGTTTCATGATATTTTTGCAGTGTTGCCAGGTGGAAAAATGAGCAATATAACAAATACTGACTTATCTATAGAGATGCTGAGGATTTTTTATACAATGTATGCTAAATGAAAGAAAGCATCAGAATAATAATAGTAGTTGTATAATTATTACTAGCCATTTTCCTCTAAGAAAGCATATATTTGCACAATGGTAACTATTTTTTTAAGACATATTACCAATAAGATCATAATTTTGTAATAATACCTTCTATGAATGTTGTCATTTCAGTATTCATAAGCAGTTCTTTGTGCTTTGTTAACCAATGCTAATATATTTCTTTCAAAAGCACCCTTCCTCCTAGATTGTAAGCTCTAAGGAGCAGGGCCCTCTGTTTCCCTTGTATCAAATTGTATTGTAACTGTAATGTCTACCTTCATTTTGTAAAGCGCTGTGCAAACTGTTGGCGCTATATAAATCCTGAATAATAAAAATAATACTGCCAGCTAATCTATTTAAACAATAAATACCATTAACTAGCAGACAGCAACAACTGCAAGTACCTAATACAACTAAAGGAAGACTAGCTAGCAGGCACTACTTAGATTATTTGTTATTGGGAGAGAAATGGTTAAAATGGACCACAAAACCAGTGAAGCTGGCTTTATCAGTGCTTTGTTGCATTTTCCACCTACTATGTTTTCCGCAAACACAAAAGTAAGTAGGAGACTTGGACACTGTTCCTGAAAGCTATGGAAATATGTCATGGCAAATGTTTGCTCTTATCAGTTATTGCAGTTGAATAATGTAAAAGTGCTCACATTAAAATACTTATTGTCACTCATTTCATGTGTGTTAGTGCCAGATATATGGACATGTTCATCTTGGTTAAGCGGTATTAAAGTGGTTCTAAAGGCTCCAGGTTTTTTACCTTCATGCATTCTATTACCATGAAAGTAAAAAAATCTTCTGTGTGTAGCAGCCCCCCCCCAGCCCTCCGTAACACTTATCTGAGCCCCATCCCGATCCAGTGATGTCCACCTGAGCCTCGGTTCTCTGGGGACTCTCACTTCTTATTGGTTGAGACAGCAGCTAAAGCCATTGGCTCCCAATGCTGTCTATCACAGTCAGTGAGCCAATGAGGAGATGGGGGGGCGGGTCTGTGTGTGAATGTACATGCAGAGCTGCGGCGGAGTGTGCCTGCTCGAGTGCCCCCATTGCAAGCTGCTTGCTGTGGGGGCACCCGACAGGAGGGAGGGGCCAGGTGCGCCGGTGGGGAATCCGAGAAGAGGAGGACTTGGGCTGCTCTGTGCAAAACCACTGCACACAGCAGGTAAGTATAACATGTTTACTATTTAAAAAAAAAACAAAAAAAAATAAGACTTTAGTATCACTTTAAATCTCAAATCAAAAACCTAATATATTGCAGATTAGCAGTCTTATGTGTTGTGGATGTGGTGCTAGGCTGTATTTCTTTATTTTCACCTGCTAATCTGGCAAGTAACACACTTTCAGTCTTAAGTGGGTGTCCCACTCTGGATAGAGCAACCAAGACACCTTTGCAGGGTAGCATTGTCAGTCTGGGGAAAGGGTTATGTTAAATGCACTAGATAAATTTACATAGACTTTACTAACAAATTAAAGCTGAAGTTCAGCTCCAGCAGGGCAGAGCTGCGCTCTGTGTGTCAGTAGCTCAAGAGCAAGAGCAAGCACACACGGGTGCCCCCAGAGCAAGCGGCTTGCTATGGGTGCGCTAGGAAGGAGGGAGGGGCCAGGAGCTCCAGCAGGGGACCCGAGAAGATGAGGATCGGGGCTGCTCTGTGCAAAACAGAGCAGGTAAGTGTAACATGTTTCTTATTTTAATAAAAGTTTCCTTTATAATCACTTTAAAGTGTTACTAAACCCAGGACCTTGCAATCACCATGTCTGATCTCCCACAGTTACACAGAACTTGGAAGTGCAATTATTTTAGTAAATATAAACTGCTAAATACCTTTTCTTA